GGACCCCAGGTAATGCATGTCAGATTCACAAAAATGTAGACAGCACCCTCTAGTGGATCTGTCATTTAAAATATGCAACACAACACAAGCAAGGCGATGTATTTTATGTTTTGTGTTGCAAAATGTAGTATGAGGCATGTTTTTCCAATGAGCCTGGGCTGGCTGACCAGCAGAAAGCAGACTGAGCTCACACGCTACACTTCTAACAACATATAATGGAAGTTTTGCCTGCAATGCTTTCTTGAATTCTTCTTATTTAATCCGCGATTATACGGATAATCCGCGGGTCAGGCGGGCCGGGTAATAAAAAATACATAATGAATAATTGAGGGTCGGTTCATCTAGCGGGATATGGCAGTGGACCAGCGAAAAAGCAGAATGGGCTTTGCAGAATGGGAAGATGAGACGCCCAAATTAATAGATGAAGTGCAAGAGTAGCCTAATGTTACTGTTCAAAGTTTCAGTTTGAGGAGTCATCAGAGGAAAATCTGCTATCGTTCTGGGAGAAACAAGATCACTTATTTCCACGACTGCAGCACCGTGCGAGGAGAATCTTGTTCATTCCTACAACAAGCGGTGCGAGCAAACGCTCATTCAGTGCAGCTGGCCGTGTTTTAGAGGCGAAGCGGAATCGCCCAAATTCAGGCACAGTAGATGCTATTCTGTTTTTGCAAAGTGCGAAGAAAAAGGCAAAGTAAGCATAACATAGCTGCCGTTTAGGCTGAAGTGGCATCCTTTTTGCTATTTTGTTCCTGTATCTATAAAAGCTAAAATGTCTCATTTTTACTTTCTGTATCTATTTGAAAATGAAGAAAATGTTGTCTAAAGACAAACTTTTGTTTTTTAAATAAAAGTTCATTTAAAAACATTTACAATTAACATATTGTTTTACTATCAGAGATGCGCAGATAGATAGCTCACTGAATCTGCTGTTAATATTCACGGTGACCTATCATCATGACTAAAACAAAGAATTCAATTATTAAAGTGACGATCGGGTGCGGATCGGGTGCGAATACATGTATCAGATAAAACTATATGTGGGGGCGGGTGGCGGGTGGATGATTAGTATGAAGCTGCGGATTCGGGTGTCATTTCAGCTGATCCGTGCATCTCTAGTACACAAGTACACACTGATTTTTAACAGAGATCTACCAATATGGAAATGTTTATGTATTGTATGTTGGAAAAACTTGTATGTATGGAAAAACTTTATGTATTTAGAATCCAACATTTAGACTGATAAACATAATTCCGATAAATAGAAATATAACTCTATAAAATAGAGATTTTCTGAGGCTGATTACAAAAATGAAAGGCAAAGAACACATTGATTTAAAACCTTAACTCCCGAAGCCATTGCAATGAAACATCTAAATCTTTTTTTTTCCACAAAATCTGCAATTCTGATGTACTGTGCATTTAAATGTGTGCTTATACTAACATTCACACACAAAAAAAGCAGTTTACTTTGGGTTTAACAGTAGCAGATTCCATTCAGAATAATTTTGGCCACATTCAACTCTGGTCATTCCCATTGCTGACACAAATTACACATAAGACAAAGGCTTAATTTTCTACAAAGACTCAAAGGGGCGGGAATGAGCTCCCAACAAGCTTCCAATACATAAAATGTAATACCGATTTAGGTTCTCTGGAGTTTTTTTCACCCTAAGGAATCACCCAGATCCATCCATTCATTAATTATCTGAACGGGGCCATCAGCCTCACTGCTTGTGCTGTGCTCTTGCATAAGTCCAGAACTGGTGGAGGCTGCTGTGTCAGCAGATGTTTACCAAGGGTGTTTTTTCATTATACCTGCTGATCTAACTGCTTGAGTCACACATCTGCAACACTAACTAGTTCTGACAGACCAGCATATGTTGTGTATATGATGCTGGCCCATTCTGAGATGTTGGTCTCTCCAATATCTCAGAATCATTTTTTCAAAACGCTTTTCTTGTGTAGTCTTCATTTCAGGGCCTGGTGTGGTTCAGGCATGGAGGTTCTGTATGGGAATTATAATAAAGAATTTGTATTCCTTGTAATGGTCAATTTCTGCAAACAAGAATTCATATCGGTGACCATGCCCATAACGCATGATAAATGCTTAGTTTTAATGTTATTGGTATTAGATAATAAGAAAATAAATTATGGATTAAATCTGAACTTTTATTATATGGCTCTCTTAACCCTACAGCTGAAAGCAATGTATTTATAAAACTGAAATGAATGAACCCTTTTCTGAGGAAGAATATGTCATTATCTTAATTTAAAGTGCATGAGGCTGAAACCATGGTCATATTCTAATATAAGATAAATTAGTTAAAGCAATATAACTGTCTTCTTTAAAGTAGGTACTGTACTGTTAAAAAGCTATTAGACATGTTCTAAAACACAATAATGATCCCGAACAATTTCCAGATATATTCGCATAGTAGCTGTACTCTACTATGACATATAGATGATTAATTTCAGAAATGCTGACCTGTGGCAATCCAGAATCCATTTGTACATGTAGGATAAACAGGTATGATTGTACATATGAATTACAAACAGCAAGAAGCTATTTCCAGAGGTCTGACAGCACTCTACACAAATAATCCCAATGCAGTGTTATGCATTTGGAAATCACACATTTGCACAGAAAGATCAATGTTAATCAATATGAGTCACTGTTTGCAATAATTCTGTACATAAACAACAAACAGACTGGTCTATTCAGAGTGACAAGACTGATAAATCTGCCTCTCTATTTAGCATATTAGCACTTCACAACATCGCAAACACCTCAATCAGGCTATATTCTCCATCAGCGGAAACACTAATATATTTCAGGCTATGTAACAACCATTTCAGCGGACTAATACTTCTGACTCTTTTGGGAGCTTTCTGACTACTAAACAACTATTTACTTGCACCAATAACACATGGATCAGAAAACAGCCACACAAAGGTTTGCTTTGAAAATGAATAGAATGACTTATCTAGACTCCTTATATACAGGCGAACATCCAACTTTTTTAATCCTAGAGCCCTTAAAATGCTACATGATTCTTACATGTCGTTCATCAGAACTTGGAATACCAAAATGTGTATTCAGTAGAAATATAAAAATGCACATGAAGATTTTAAAGGGGTGGTCCACTACGATATCATATTTTAAACTTTAGTTGATGTGTAATGTAGCTGTGTGAACGCAGAAAATGTCTCTGAATGTAATATGCTCAAAGCAAAGGGTGACATTGGCTTTTACAGAGTTAGCTTAGCAAAGCCTACAGCAAACAAAGTTTAGGGACTACAAAAAAAATACATCCGGGCTAGTGAGATTACACTTCTGGTTAGGAGCATTCACCACGCACATACACACCGCGCAGCGAAGGGGCATGGCCAGAAGTGCTGTAATTTAAAGCTAAAATGCCATCCAAATGCTGCTCTTTCCACAGAGCGTGTTCAGTTTCGGTATTTGGGCTTCTAAAGGACACGACACAAAAAGAGATGTGCTTACAGTTTAATTTTAATTATGTTCCAGAGAATTATAAAAAATATATAGCTAGCATTTGACAAAGGACAGCTTCCAGAATCTCTCACAGTACTGGATTCGATTAAAACTCCTCCAACAGATGAAGCTGTAGATTGTAAACCACAACCTGTAAGTGTTTTTATTTGTTAAAATTGATTAATTACATGCACGGTTTCTAGAGTTGACGGTAAGTTGTAGCGCGGATGTAAACAAGACTGTAAACAACGGGAAATGCTGTTTGGCTACAAATTCATATTTATTCATCAAACTGCTGTAAACACCAAAAATTTTCACCAGTGCTGCATTGTTTCTCTATGCGGCTAATTTCCCTGCATTCTACATCTCAAATAACAAACTCACAAAAGATGAAAAGATTAATGTGAACGTTTCATATTACTTACACATACTTATAACCCATATATATGTTAGACCGCTTGTCAGATTTTGTTTTAGAGAGCAGGCATGAGGTGTAGCTGCGTGCTTTCCATTTTCAGCCTGATTCAGGCAAACTGATACTTCTGTTTACACAGCATAAAAGCATGTGCTTGTCGGGATGTGATGTGGAGCCAATCCACAAATCTTAGCACATAATGTTAGCTGACCAATCAGAGCCTCTTGAGGACGGGCCTTTTGGAGGAACTAGGAAATATGACGTAGTTTTTGTTTATGTTAGCGTAGTAGCTACAGTATATGTGTAGCTGTAAATAATCAAAGTGAGATATGAAAAAATAATGGGATTTTCTACAAGTGAAGCATGAGCATACATCGCTTTGCATCTTATAAAAACACAACCAAGCCTTAAAAATATACGCTGAGCCACCCCTTTAAAATTCACAAAATACATCCATCATACTTTTATAATGAAACCATATTTATCCATGCTTTTCTAGATTTTGAAGAAATATTCTTTTATTATTTTTTCATCCTACACGTCTAGTTCCAAACCTGTTTAAGTTTTCTGTTTAAAACAACAGAATTAAGTTATACTTATTATTATTATAAAGCATTCTGGAAACTGATATCAAGACTTTTTTCGGTCACACTTTATTTTGATGGTCTGTTTGTTGAATTTAAGTTACATTGCAATTAATTCTCATCAAATTATTAGTAGACTGTTGGGCTAGCGTTATGGTTAATGTAAGTTGACATGTACTTGCAAAGTTTCTTATAGTCAGTTGAATGTCTGTTGAAGGAGCAGTATCATCAGATAATAAGTAGACAGTCTACTAATACTCAAACGGACCATCAAAATAAAGTGTTACCTTTTTTCATTCTATGGATGTCAATTTTTACTAGTTTTTAAAAAAAAATATCTTCTTTTGTGTTAATCATAAAAATAAAACTCATAAAGGTTTGAAACCACTTGTGGGTGATTAAATGCTATCAATGCATCTCCTTAAGTCATCTCTTAAAGGCCTCTGAGGCCCCCTAGCTGAAAAGCACATCAGCAGTCGCATCTTCATGAATGAGATCTCACCTGTAAAAAATGACAAGGCCTCATGGAGGACTTCAGATCTTGAGGCATGGTCGGTTTCTCCAGGTTAAGGGAAGATTTACGGTAGGCTTCTTTAGCTTGGCTGACAGTCAGAGTCGACCAGGAGCTGCGCTTCATGAATTTGCCCTCGGGGGCCATAGCGATGCTCTCGCATGCTGAACATTTCACGTCATTGTTGCTCTTTGAGGTCTTTAGTGAAAGGTCACCGAAGTGCCCGTGGCCCATATCCGGGTAACAGTGAGTGATATGATCTCCGTGGTGCCGACTCATGATGCTGGGAGTCCGGTAGGTGCTGTCACTGTCCAGGTTGTCGTCAGAGCTCCACCAGCCTGCTATCCCTGAGCGTTGCTTGGAGTCTGACTTGCGTTCCTTGCTCTTACTTCGTTTGCTGTGTTTGTGGCTCCCATGGTCATGGCCGTGATGATGGTGGTGATGGTGGTGGTGTCCGCTGTCTGAGCGAGAGTCTCCCTTGGTGCCGTTCATCTTGGAAGAGCCTTCAAGAGAGTGCGATTTGGTGAAGAGCTTCTGGACAGAGTGCACCAGGTGGCGAATGCGCCCGGGACTCTCGTTGCGCTGCTCGCTGTTGGTGGTGGTGGCAGACGTGCGCTGGTACTGCAGCGTGTGGAAACCATCCCTATGAATCGGTAGCTGCTTCTCGAACTGGTCAAGGAGGTTCGCAGGAATACGGTTCATCTTCCCGGATCCGCCACCCCCGCTAACAATGCTAACCCCTCCTCCGCCACCTCCTCCACCATGAGAAGTGGAGCCGTCGTCCCGCAAGCTGTCCTGATGTGAACTGTAGTGCATTCTAGGAAAGGTGCTGCTGGAGACGTGGTCAGATGCCATAGAAACTGGCATCACCATGCACTCCGAGTGGATGGAGCTGCGGGGTGAGCAGCGGTGTGGGTCCAAAGGGCAACTCTCGGTGGGACTGAGCAGGTAGGGAGAGCGGGAGTCTGGGCCGACATGCTGCAAGTGATCGAGGGACTGATCGCAGTCTGGCAGCCCACAGGTGTGTCCTGATGTGAAGGTGAGCTGAGGACGACCACTTGATAAACCTTTCATATTCCTGGGAGGGGAGGGGTAGCTGTCTTCATCGAAGTACGGCGGTGGAGACCATGAATCTAGCTGATCTATGAAAGACAAAGACAGAGAACAAAAAATAGAGGACGAGTGAGCTTGATTGATTTTACCCTGGCATTCTGCATCAGTTTAGACCTTACATGTAGGAAACTAATAGGGATGTTCGTTAAACACTGTGGAGAGGTATAAACAAGCTCAATTTACAAAATCTCTGCCACTTTTAGGAATACAGGTGAGCTTTTTAGCTGCACAGTCATGGAAAACAAGACACTTTAATTCATGAATGGAATGAAATAATGTTGTCCACACAATAGCACGTCCCACAGCCCTTTTGCCGATCCTCCCCATCTGGTCCTGCCAGACCTTACGAGGACAGAGTTGCAAGCCTTGCCATTTATCCAATGCAAAGTAAAATAATAGCCTATCATTTTGGAACCGCTGGGCCATCCGTCAAAGCCGGATCCAGAGAGAGAGGGAGCACTTCGAGGTGCTTCAGCGGTTGTCCTTGAGAGACATTGCTCAGAGATTAAAACCACATTCACTGTGATCTTTCATCACAGCCGCATATGGGCAGCCTGCCGCTAACTTCATCAGAGCCTCAGAGATCGTGTTTTTCACATCCAGCCATTTGCCCTTTCTGACACAACTATTTCATGCTGCTGGATCACATGTCATTTCACACAGGTGACTAATGGGAATTTTCATGTCGTTAAAAAAAAACAAAAAAAAACATGGTAACGAATATTAATACAAAAGTCATTTTTCAATCACTGCAGGGAAACTACAGAACGTGTCAAGTTTAATGAGTTTTTAGTGTCAAAAGTGAAAGCTGGTTAAACCTCAACCGATTTAATCTCAGCTGAGATATTATTAACAATTTTAAACTTGTCTCTTTCTTGTCAAAATGAAAGCACATCTTTTGAAAAATATTCACACTCTGTGTCCAAAAACCTCATTAGTCAACTCGGGTAACAAATTCATACAAGCAAATGTCTGCAAACAGTATCACAATAGTGTGTTGTTAAAACTACACCTCTTTAAAGCATGAGCCTTTTCTGAAAATTTCATATTATATGTACTAGACCACGCACACGAGAAAAATAAGCAAGCTGTATAATACTGTATATCTCTCATTCTACACCTTTTAGTTCATTAGGGGATAAAATGCTGTTTCGAAGAGTGTGCATGAGTCCTGAGTGATGAATGAAAACTCATATAATAAAGCCAAATAACAGAGAACATAAATAGAGCAGCAGACTTGAGATAGTATGTTTGTTATTAATAGTCTCACATTATTCTAATACTGAGCTTTAAGCTGCAGACGTTATCACTCCAAACCTTGTGAATGTCACTAAAGACAGTTCTAACCAGTGTGGTCCAAATGATGTTCCTGTGACACAGATCAAGAAACTGGCAAGAGTAACTAGTCCCCAATAATGCATTGTACTATGGCAGCACGTTACATCATTGTTAAAAAAATGCACCACTAACAGAGTAAGGAAAAACCGGGGGATATTGCAACACCCTCAAATCCTCCAATCTGAAACATGCTACAGTGACATCTTTTTAAAAATACAACAAATATCTCAACACAATCTCATTGGTTCATTCTGTTAAAAATGTCTTCAGAATTTTAACCATCTACAGAAAAAAAAAAAACTAGTATAACCATAGTAAAGCATTGCTGGATACTGCAGCAGTGAAGTGACTGGTTTAATATGGATGTCCAGATCCAATCACGTGATTGAAAATCAGGGCAGATCACATGGTTTCAGACTTGATCGGAATCAGGCGTTACCTCCAGATCAGGACTCTAACATGTATATCATATATTCTCATTTTTTTAAACACATCTATAGTTATGTGGTGACACAGAGTTAGATCTCTTACTTGACTTCACACAGAAACAACATGTATGGGCATGAAATCACTTTGTTGCAAAGACGCTATTGGTTAAATGCCTCCAAAGTAGAACGATAGCAGCTTGAAGCGAAAAGCACGATTATGTCTGCTGTCTGGAGGTATTATAAAGTTGATTGCCATACAACATTGCCATAGCAGACTGTAAGAAATGTAAACTTGGGATTACCTGCCGGGTGTTGAGATGCTTTTTGTTTTTACAGTAGTTTGTTTTATATTTACTGTTGCACTGACGTCCAAAAGTGAAGAATTGATGTTATTTATTACTTAATTGTTCAAACGACTTTACAGGAGTGCTTTGTTTGTTAACATAGTTGTTAAAAATAAGATGAATTAAATAAAAAAATAAAGAAGAGTGAAAGAACAGATCCAGCATGTTCCTTATTCTTTTTTTTATGTATTATAGAAGTATCTAATTAGGTTTTGGTATCGGCAGATACTCAAAATCAAATGACTCTGACTCGAAGGCAAAAAAATCGGATCGGGACACCCCTAGTTCAAAGTAGGCTTTTATTTGAGATACAGTTAGTTTGAAAAATTTTTACACCGGAGAGCAAGTGGTCAATTTGGACAATGTGACTTTTTGTATTCAATTTATTTTTTATAGTGTTCTCACATATAATATTGTTTCATGGTTCGGTAACACAACACTTAAACAGAAAAAGAAATTAGCGCAAATTATAAATCAGGCAAATAAGATAACTGGTCACAAACAGCATTCATTGCAGATTTTATTTGACTCTTTTATGGAAAAAAGAGCAGTTGTGATTTTTAAAGATAATACACATCCGCTTCACTCAGCATTTGAACTGCTACCATCAGGACGCAGGTTTAGAATTCCTAAAGCACGAAGAAATGCCTATAAAAAGTCATTTATCCCAATGGCAGTTGTTGTTCTAAACCGGATCAATGTTTGTAGGAAATGAGGTGGTTACCAAGTATGATTTGCAGTATTGTGTATGGGACTAATTTGGTTTTTAAACTTTTAACCTATGTTGTTGTGTTGGTAAGTGTTATTGTGTCATTGGTGTATGTTTGTAATTGTTGTCCTAAATCCAGTGCTGAAGAAAAATTTCCTTTTTGTGTCAAGCAGAACGGACAATAAAGTTTAAACTAAACTAAACTATTTTAACTTTCTTGTTCTTATTTGTTTAATTAAATGGATTATTAACTCTTTATAGGACACTCAATGAAAAACTCTTTGAAAAACTCTGAAATGTTATTCGGGTTATTACAAGACTTGTGAACTGTTATGACTATAAAAATATGATTTCCCAAATTATGTTTAACAGATATTATTTATAACAAATATTATTTACTGTCATCATGGTAAAGATAAAATAAATCAGTTATTAGAAAAAAGTTATATTTACAAATGTGTTGAAATTTCCCTCTGTTAAAAAGAAATTGTTAGGTTGGGGTTACAAACAAAAAACAGCTAATAATTAAGGGGGGCTAATAATTCTGACTTCAACTGTTTATATAAAGTGTAATCAAGGACAATGAAGGGACCATATATGATTACTACCCAAAAAAAACGGTTAATCAGTGCATCAATACTGTATAGTGCATCTTGTATAATGAGTATATAAAGTACTCTTTAGTTTTTGAGGAAAAATAAAAAAATTATCACAATTGCCACTGGTTTTCTGCAAATGAAAAAAACACAACTGTTCAATAATCTAATAATCTTATAACAATAATAATAATAATAATAATAATAATAATAATATATAAGCTATAAAATATTACACAATATTACTTCTGTAACTGTATAATATATTTTGACTAAATAAATAGAGACTTGATGAGCATAAGAGAGTTTTTAAAAACAGAAACCTCACACTTCCACCTGTCTGAGCCACATGCAAGAAACTGAACAGCAAGAAACTGGGCAGATGACAAAAGCAAAAGCACCTTAATGTGAATTAAGAATAAACATCATTTGTTTATTCTATGCTCTGTTAAGATTGTTAAGATCAGTTATTGCGCAGGTAGTTCCAGTCAGTTTGTTCACAGTTTTAAATTAATGCGCTCCCCTCCCCTGCCATAAACATTTATAACCTAACTCAGTGACAGTTGCTAGAGCCTATCTGCATCTGAGACACATTCCTTGAGGACACCAATGTGTGGCTAAAAGCAATGTGCTCTAAAACATTTATAAACTGATAGGTAACAAATATATATATATATATATATATATATATATATATATATAATATTATATTATATTTAATATAACATTAAATATAATATTAAATAAAATAGAGTATCCAGTCTAAAGTAATCTTAATTCAATTCATGTTAAAATCAATACTTGTATTAACTTGTTGCTAACTTAAAAATACCATTGAATAAGTGGGATAATCAATGGCTTTGCTGTGCATTAATGGATTTTAAGCACACTTTTAAATCCACCCACAGAGGATAGTCTGTTGCCTTCACAAAATCCCTAATTATAGTCAATTAATATATAAATGTTTCATTTTTGATGATCTAATTAACCTGTAATTAAGCAGACAATTTTTGCTGTTTCTAAATGAATCAGCTGTCTTAAACAAATTGTTTGAATGAATGACTCAAGGAATAACCATTGACATTACCAACTGATTCATATTTAATTTTTATATGACAGGCCTAAATCAGTCAAGCTACCAGCACAAGAAATCAACCAGCAGAATATCTGTTGGAGATGTACAGTACAAATTATAAATTGTAATGTTTTTTTGTTTTTTTTTAAATAAGCACCTACTTTGTTTTAAACAAAAATACTGAGTAAAGAGTAAAACTGTTAAACATTATAACAGTTTAACTGATATAAATGTAGACATTTAAACTTGAACATTTAGTAGCTATTTAACATGGCTTATACAAAGTCAGCTATGACCAAAAACAGACTGTTTATTCAGTAACCGCTCTGATAAATCCACTGAGCCAAGTTCATCACTGACTTATTCATGAGTCATTTTGACTGATTCATTAAAAAAATAAAAATAAATTTTTTACTCATGCACAAGACCAGAGATGCCCAAGGTCGGGCCTGCAGGCTAAAGTTGGCTCATTGTAACCTTTGATTTGGCCCACCATCCAGTCTGAGAAGAAAGTAAGAATGATGAGGGCAAATGC